ATCATACTGTAAAAAGTAATACTGTTATCAGATTAAGTAGATACAATCTTTTGTTGTGCAATTTTTGGAGATTCGCATTAAACACTCAATTATTAAGAAGGTTGTATCACTTCATAAAAAAAGATAATATAATCAGATTGTAGATTAAGATCGCTTTTATCGTGTGATGATTTTATTTAAAACAAAACGTAAAAAAAGTAATTACAATACCTAATAAATAAGATCTAAGAAAAACAAAAATATTTTTGCTTAGAACTTACCAACGAACGAAACGAAAAAGAGTATTTATCAGTTGTAGTTTGTTTTGAGGCACATCTCCCACCATTTTCAGTAAAAAAAAATAGATGAAAACCACCACAAGTGATGATAGATAGGAAGTTAATAATAATAAAAAATCAGCTAAATAAAATTTAAGCTTTTTGAAGGCGCATAAATCTTGTTGTGATATTAATCTAAAACGAATTCATCTATCTTGTAAATGTCTTTTAGATTAAATCTTAATTGTTTACACATAGAAATTTCGCAAAAATCAGTATAAAAATCTTATTTTGTCATAGTCAGATTACGGTACTAAGAATTAATTACTGTGACAATAATAATAATAATCTTTATTGTAATAAACGAATTACAAATTCGAAATAATACTTTTACAACAATAAATGGTTTAAAAAATCTTCCATAGAATATATCTCTTCAATACCTCTTTGATTAGATAAAGGAGTCGATGTTGTCACAATATGCGTGTATGTTTGTGATGATAATTATGTACATATATTCCATTCATCAAATTTTCGTGACATTTTCAATGTCATGCATATTTTTTTTTGAGCCTGTACCCTAATTGGTATTGATTGCTATTGTACTGTACTTGATGTAAAATTTCGTATTTGCGTCAAACGGCCTTTAAGGTTGGTTATGTTTATCTGGATTTGCGTCAGTAATTACTAATTTAAAAAAAAGTTGATTGATCACAACAATGATAACTAATTTAACTACTTAACTCTAGAGGCAAAAGTCTATGATAGATCTCGAATTAAACCCAGTTAATAGTGAATAATGAAAAAGACATAAACACAAATGAATTATCACAGTAAACAGCAGCAGAGGTAACTACAGAACACCATGGTTTTGCCAAGAAATGAAAAATAAATAAGTAAGGAAAAGTCTATTTAAACTGCAGAACACTAAAAACATCAGAAGTCCACGAAACCTATAAACTAATTCGAAATGAAACAAACTTGTCAGTAAAATCCATTAATAATGGTTACTGGGAAAAATTCTTTGGGACACAAAGAGTAGTGGAGAATAATGAGACAACAACAGAAGAAGCAAGGTAAGACGTGGATATAGAATAGGCGATGAAGAACTCTGAAAAATATGTTATGCAGACGATGCGCTGCTTTTTGCAGAATATGAAGACGATCTTCAAAGACTTACAAATATTTTTAACACAATAGGGAGCAAATGTAATATGGAAATATCCGTAGGAAAACAAACATATTAATCGAACCACAAAAACAAGAATGTACAAAACAACGACAAGGCGACAATATCAAAAACAAGAAGACTTCTTGAGACAGCTGAGATGAAAATTCTAAGATGGATTTCGGAAAATTTTTTGGGACACCAGTTGGGATTAACGAGAAATATCAAGAATTAAACACATCAATAGAATGTCAACAAACAGACTCATCACGAAATTATCTGACGGCAGAAGAAATATTGAACACCCAAGAAAAAGATGGAATGACAGCATATAGATGAGAACAAAATCGAGGAAAGAATAGGGTTTAGCCTATTTAGGAAGAACAAAAAGAATTTACCAAGAAGAACCGCCAAACTAATGGTTACACTCCACATTTGACATGTCGATAGTTGTAAACGAATAATAATTAAACATTGTTTTGGACGTAAAAAATACGTTATCATGAAAAAATTATGCCTGACAACACTGGATGAAGATTTAATACTGCTATCAGGAAACTAGATACTGTTGGCACAAGAATAAATATCGCTAATGGAAGACTGGACACTGCTAATAGAGGAATAGATACTGCATGCACAAGATTGCCAATTCATTGCAGAGTACTAGATTCTGCTGGTAGAAAACTAGATACTACCAATAAAACCCTTGGCTAAACTTTGATACTTAACTGCCTACTTTATACATGACTGAATATTGTGTACAGAGAAGTATATAGTATAAATTAGAGAATATGCCTACATATAGATGATACAAATACATATAAAACAAAACACTACATGCTTCTAATTGATGACTAGAAACTGTACAACAAATTTTTTTTATTAAAAATTATTAATTTATTTTTATTTAAAGTCTACATTTACATGAAAAGCTACCAAGAGGTGTTTAGATAAAGTTCCACACAGTGATGTAATTTCGCTAAAGCTTAATATATATTAATTTTTGTCGTTGAAAGATGTATTTGTAAATATACGTTAGGTTACATCAGTTGAAAGTGTCAGTGAAACATTTGAAAATATGTTCGGACCAATTACTGTTATCATTAATTAACCGATGTAGATCAGAGATTAAGATTGATACAGATATTAATAATTAAAAAATACGATATTCCTTTTTAAGTAATTTCATAGAAAAATTGTAAATGAAAACAGTTACAAGTTGTTTAGATAGTTAACTTAATTTTGTCGTATAGTATTGCTGGCTAAAGACTTAATACTGCTTTCAGAAGTTTAAATACCGCTGGAAGAAGACTAGACACTGTTAATAGAAGACCAGATACTGTCTGTAAAAGACTAAATTCAACTGTTAAAAGAGTAGATGTAGATGCAGAGTAGAAGGCTAGACTCTCCTTGTAGAAGACTCAAGAATTGATTGAACATATACAAGATTTACACACCCAAGAACCTGTTCAAAGGAAAGATTGAGCGTAGAAATGCTGATATAATACAGATCAGACAAGATATACAAATAACGTTTGCAGATGTCGGCCGGAGATTAATACAAGTACTACTACAAAATAAAATACCTGATACCTGGAAAGGCAGTGTGATGATGCGCATGTTTAAGAAAGGTGATAGAACCAAACAAATATTGAGGTGTACATTTATTAGACATAGCACTGAAATTCGCACACTCACTTTGCTTGCTGATAAATAATAAGGATTTCGAAGATCATGCACTAATGGAGTAGTCATCCTGGGTCAAACGATTGAGAAAAATATCGAATATGTAACGCACCTGTTATATAATAGAGATATACCGGGCAATATCACACAGACAATAGAAGATATATATGCGTATTGTAAATACAAGGAAGTCTCTATCGTGTCAGAACAGCTGTGTCAAGAATATTTTACAAAAAAATTAGCAAAAAAGGAAGAATTAGAAAAAAGGAAAGTGAAACGTGCTGCAGGAAAAGAGAAGAAAACTATAAAGCGAAACAAAAAAAGTTCAGCAGCGTAAGAAAAAGGCTGCAAAGTATGCCGGATGCTTCGTTACGAAGACAGTTTTGACTCAAATATGGATGAGATGCTATCCCACAATAAAAGTGAATGTAGAGATGAGAACGGCGGAGAAAACATGCAGAAGAGAAACCTTAAAGAAACAGTAGAGAGAAAATTAGGAGAATATGTAGTATGTTATTAGTAATAACATACTACATATTCTCCTAATTTGCCGTTTCAGAAACATCAGTAATAACTTATTACTGATGTTTCTAAAACGGCTGCTACTATTTCAGCAATGCAAAAGTTTGGGCGACTCTGGAAATGGCCAGAAAAAGTGGATAAATTGGAATACGAATGGGAAGCTGTGTTGTGCCATATTGACAAGCCTTTAAAAAGGAGTACGACGAGAAATATTTACTCAATCGCCGAACTCGAACTTTTATGGAGTTATTCTATTATATTAATTCTCACAGTCTCATAACTTAACATATATTATGTAAGTTATGTTAATTTTGCTTAATTAAGTTACCTAAATTAATAAGGCCTATTACATTAACATTTATTTTTTTTATTTTTCTATAACTTTCGTTAACGTACTTTCCTGTATTCATATAAAGTAGGGCTGAATTAATTCAATCATTTCAGAACCATTTTTTAGTCAAAAACAACTGAAAAATTATAAATGAAAACAGTTACAATTTGTTGAAATAGTTCACTTAGTTTTGTTGTATAACACTGCTGGCAAAAGACTTAATACTGCTTTCAGAAGTTTAAATACCGCTGCAAGAAGACTAGACACTGTTAATAGAAGACTAGACTCTGCTAATTGAAGGCCAGATACTGTCTGCAGAAGACTACCCACTCTTTGCAGAAGACTAGATTCTGCTGTTAAAAGAGTAGATGTAGAGTAGAGGACTAGACATTGTTAGAATAAGAATACATACTGCTGTCAGAAGACTAAATGCTACTAATAGATGACTTAAAACTTAATTACATACAATGTTATTAGTTGTCTCTATTAAAGCCCTGGTTTATATGAAGAAACACTACAACAGCCATGCGTTTGCATTCGTGTGATTAACACTTTAGAGGTGATAGACTTTGTAATGTTGAAAGAATGGCGAAGGTGTATTGATGGCTGTGTCCAATGAATTATCATGTAAAGTGTTAATGTTGTATTGCAATGACTTTCTGAACTGAAGAAAATGAAGACCACTCAACTAAAAAGTTGATAATAATTGTCAAAGATGGAAAAAAAACCTTGGATACAGAAGGTTGGAAGAAATAACTTGAGATTTCATTAAACCTACCAACTTTCCATCTTTCCGGCGATCGCTTGGCCTAGTAAAATATTCGCTTAGATTTTTCCTCCTCCTTTACAGTTAGCTCTCTAAAAATGTTGTTTATTTCTTATTAATGTAATTATACACTATCTGCTGTATAAGTTTACGTAACTTATTTGACAACAGGAAACTGTTTGTTATGGAAAACACAACAAAGATATCACCTCTAAGAATATGGTAAAGAAAAAGTTTTATATAATCAAGAAATAAAATAAAACCCTTAAAAAATTAAAAAAATAAATACTATATTTTGTGCGAATGTTATAAAACAACATATCATAAAATTACACAAACCTATTGTTTATACAATAAATAAGATCTAACAACAAAGGAAGGAAACAAACGGCTTTTCTTTTTATTAAAATTACTTATAACATTTGAAATAAAAGTGTTCATCAGCGCTGCAGATCGTTCTGAATCTCTTGAAACGTCTTTCCCTTCGTTTCCGGCACGAAGAAATAGATGAAAAAGGCTGCAAGTAAATTGAAACCGGAAAAAATCCAGAACGATCCGCCGATACCGATATACCCGGACACTGATTCGAAATACTTGGTGATGATAAAGGATAAGATCCAGCAGAGAAAAGATGTGAGTGACGTGGCTACTGCTTTCATGTTATCTGGAAAAAGTTCGGACATAATCGTCCAAGGTAGAGGTCCAAAGCCAAAGTTGAAAACGATCATGTAGACTATCAAACATACAACTGGAAGCCAGTAAATATTCTCGACATCGACGTCGTTATTCTTTAAATGAAAATACAATCCCAGTGGAGCTTCACTAATTAAAGCTCCTATTGCTGAAATCATTAATAAAACTCGTCTACCTAGTTTATCAACGACTAAAGGTGTTATGAAAGCTGCTATAACTTGAACAGCACCGATTATAATTGATGATATCTCGGCGGGAATACTACTTCCAGTTGCTTCGAAAATTAGTTGAGTGTAAAAAGTAACGATATTTACTCCAGATAATTGTTGGGCTGTTATTAATCCTAAACTTATTAATAAAGCTTTTAAATTACTTTTACTTGATATTATATCAGTGTATTTACTCCCTAAATATTGATCTACACATTCTTTAATCTCTTCCAACTCTTTCTCCACCTTACTATCCGTGGATCCGATCCTCAACTTCTTCAAACATTCTTTAGCTGAACCTTTTCTATCTTTCGCTATTAAGTAATAAGGCGATTCCGGCATAGGCAAGAAACACAATAGGAACAATAATGGTACCAAAGCGCACAAGATATTAAACAATTTTATCGAAACATATGGTCCAATTACGTAAGCCAATAACATTCCAGATACTTCAAAATTGTTCATTGTTGTTGACATCATCCCACGAATTTTCACTTCTGATACTTCGGCTATGTAAGTTGGTAGAACTGCGAAAACTCCTCCAACCGAGATACCGGATAATGTTCGCGCCGTATAAATCATTCCGATTGTATTAGAAAAGACCAACATGATGAAGGAGGCTGCTAGAGGAACTCCCAGGGCTAGTAAGGTCCACTTCCTTCCGATATGATCCGCCGCAAAAGCCGCTATAAATGGACCTGCGGATGCGCCGATAGATATTAAAGCTCCGATCCAACTTTCCTCATCTTGCGTTATCACTCGACCTAATGGATTGTCATCGGTGCGATTAGGATCGAGCATTTTTGGAAGTACTGGGGATGTCCATGCTTCCATCATACCACAGGATAAAATTGATAGGTTAGCTAAAAAAATAAAATTTATTAAAATAAATTACATCTAAAAATTATTATCTTGATTGATATTTAATAGATTTTGATTGTATGTATCTTAAATACTCTTATGAAACTTTAAATGAGGCTAGTTTTGCGTCAACTTTAATCTCATTAAGGACCACTTCCACCATTCTCCTGATAAGCCATCGAGAGGATTGTTACCATATGTTGATTTTATGTAGTGATGGAACGGATAGTGATTTTGCGAAAAACCGGATATTCGGATCCCCTTCGGCGGGATATCCGGCATATCAATCCGGCCATTATGGTTATAATTTCTGGTACATTTCTGACCCTGCATTGCCACATTATTGCGATATTTGAATAAAAATAAAATTAATAAGAAAGCTGATAAGATATGTCAATACATACATACATACAACTAACGAAGAAACTCTAAAAAGAGGATACTTTAATTAATAATTGGCAGTATTTCCACAAGGATCCTTCAAGAAATTAATTTTATAGCGAATTTTGAAAGTTATCGAAGAAAATTACAACATCGAAACTTCAAATATTGTTTTCTCAAAAACTAAAAGTTATTTTTCAAAACTTGTTGGTTCATTGGAAAGAGGACATTTTTATTAACACTTTGGGAAATTTTTATACTCATATTCCAAGAAGTGGATTTTATACGAATTTTTAAAACTTAATCGGCGAAAATTGCAAAATTCGAAAAAATTGTCGATCATTTCAAAAATTTATTTCTCAAAGAACTAAAAGATTTTTCAAAACGGCTTTTTGCATTAAAAAGAGGATACTTTAATTAATAATTGGTGATATTTCCACAAGGATCCTTCAAGAAATTAATTTTATAGCGAATTTTGAAAGTTATCGATGAAAATTGCAACATCGAAAATTTTATCAAAACTTCAAATATTGTTTTCTCAAAAACTAAAAGTTATTTTTCAAAACGGGTTGGTTCAATGGAAAGAGGACTCTCTTATTAACACTTTGAGAAATTTTCTTACTCGTATTTTAAAAAGTGGATTTTATACGAATTTTTAAAACTTAATCGGCGAAAATTGCAAAATGTTATATAACTGTTAAATAACTAACTAGCTAAAGACAAACTTGATATAAATAAAGTTGTATTCTACGAAAAAAGTCATATTGGGGTTGAACTTGATTATTATCTGCAGTGTCCAACACCTAAAAGAGATACTAAGTGATAAGTTTTTAATATTCGGCCAAAGCCGTATATTTGGTAACTATCCGGTAACCGGCCGGATTTTAAAAAATGGCCAGATAGGCCGGATACCGGATAGTTGCCGGATATCCGTTCCACCACTAGTTTTATGCAATCTCATTAGATTTATAAAAAATCAAAATAAATAAAAAAGGATTTTTAAAAATATCAAAATACAGTAAAACCTCGATATAACGGATTAATGCGAGGAAGGGAGAGTCCGTTATAGCCAAAAGCGCTGAATAACAACTAAAACTAGAACTAACACTAGCGTTAGAAGTAGCACTAGACCTAGAACTAGAAACATTGGGGTTTAGCCGTGCGTCTTTTAAGACGGCTAAATCCGAATGATTCTAGTTCTAGGTCTAATGTTAGTTCTAGATTTAGATCAATAAAAATATACAATAATCTAGCGCTGAATAATAATTAAAAATAGAACTAACACTAGACCTACAAATAGAAACATTCGGGTTTAGCCATCTTAAGGGACGTACGGCTAAACCCGAATATTTCTAGTTCTTGGTCTAGTGTTAGTTCTACTTTCAGTTCAATAAAAATATACAACAATCTTGCACTGAATAACAACTAAAACAAGAACTAACACTAGCTAGACCTAGAACTAAAAAGTTTCAGGTTTGCGTCTTCAGACATGAGCGCTAACATTTATATTTAAATATATTGATGTATTAAATAGATAATATTAATAGTATATATCGAGGTTTTATTGTATTAAAGTATTTACATCTTCTATATATATAAAAATGAATGTTTGTCTGTATGTTTTTTATAGAATCGTAAACTATACATTTGATCATGTGATAATCTTTAGCAAAGTTGTTGTGCATGAGCCCACGAAGGTTTCTATGTCACAATTTTTTCAAAATGAACAAAATCAATAAAATGACTCAAAATGAATTGAATATTTGCGTAATTTCTTTCCTTCAAATGTATTTTAGTTGGTGGCGTAGTAACTCGTGCAGGGTACAGCTAGTTAATAAATAAAAACAATAAAAATGACTCTTATCTGTCCTATTACAAGTCTCTTAGAAATGTTTGACGTAAATCGTGTCGAGTCCTCACACACAAAATAAACGCAAAAAAAATTAAACGATGAAACATTTCCGCAATCGTTTTGAACAGATGAATCGTTGAACAGATCAATATCAAAGTTGTTTGAAGTGATATATACTTCCAGATGTGATTATGAAAACATGTATAACAAAAAAAATAACATGGGAGATTGCTGACAACGCATCTTTTTAATACATGTATAGGTGATAACAAAATTCTTGTGGGATAAGAACTTAATTGTTTCTTGAATGTGTTTTATGTTGATAATAAAAATTCTTGTTCGATTGTTGGATATAAATAGAACATTGAATGACAAAAATAACAATTTATTTTTGTTGATTTTTTAAATGTTTCTTTTTTTATTGTTATACTCTTGAATTCCAAGGTAAGAGTAATACACTAGATTTACAATGAAAATCGCAATTTACGCTCAACAATTGTCATATTTATTTAATATCTATTGTTAAGGTTATTTTTGTTTAAATTATTATTTCATCAAGGAAAGGCATCGCTTTATTTAGTTCATTTTTTTTAATTTTCTTTCTTTTTACGGGTTATGTTCGTAACAACCGACAATTTCGTTAATATACTAGTAATTATTGTAATTTCTAGTTGAATTGGATTTTTTTAACCATTTTCGTTCATTACGTAATCGCTTGTAATTTACTCTGGGAATTTCAAATTGGTTTAAATATCAGAAAAAAACCAGAAGTTGACATCAACCAAATTAAAAAAAAAAATTTTCCTAGATAAAACTATGTTAAATCCTTATTGTATTAAGATAGTTTTATATAAAACCTCATCAATCATTTATTTATTTGTTACAATGTTTATCTATACCTAATTCCTTTTCATACCATCACCTATGATACATACTATACTTTTAGATTACATTATTGTTAAGAATTTTTATTAATAACTAATTTTTTATAATAATTTTGTTCCGTATTTGATTATTTTATATTTATAATTTTTCTTACAATTGATCTTTTTTGATTGATCTATAACATTTTTACATAAATATTATCTTATTAATTTACTAACTAGTAGACGGAATTAATCTATATATTTTGTGACTTTAGAGTGTTATCATATCGGATGCTTATAAGTTTATATAAGTTTTTTTTACTACGCACATTTCAATGTCTACATTTGTTAAAAATTAGCTTTTTTTTTGCAATTTAAACAATATATACGACTCATTGTTACAACGATTTTAGTTAAGTGTTTTGATTAAGTCATTTTACAAACAAACTTTACATTCTGAAAGGGCGCATAAAGTACTGTATTTTTGCAAAATTTAAGAAACAAACTAATTTTAAACTGATTGCCAAGACAGCATTTTAGTTGCAGTACTTTTCCATGTTAAATATTTAGCTAGTAGACATTTTGAGACTTAATACATGTATACATTGGAAAGAGGGCTCTTTGAGAAGACAAAAGAATTGGAGACCATCTTACAATTAGTAGTGACTGCACTGGCCAAATAAGAGGAAGGTGTCCCACGAATGTGGCAAGACAGTACATGATGTCAAAGAACGCAAAGAATGATATGATAATGATATGATTTATGTTAACAATGCCAAATGACTCAGTGGAGCATTTTCGAATGTAATAGAAAAGAATAGGACTTAAGAGAGGAAAGATACTTAATAAGTGAATGCTAGAAGAAAGTATTATAGAGGTAGGCAAAAAAATGAATTAAACGACAAGAAGCAAGACGCATACTGGAATCCAGAGATAACCATGTGCAATAACAGAAAAATGAAAGAATGGGATATAGAAGAAGAGAAAAATTAGAGACAATAACTTAACATTGAAACGAGAAACAATGATATAGGAAGTGATCATATGTAACCTATACACCTATACTAATTTGAAGATACCTCGTAAACATTATCAAAAGCTCCCTAAATGCAAGATAGGTCGCGGCAAGATGTAACGACTTTTGACGAAGGTGTTTCGTATGTTACTTAGTCTCTAAGGTGTCCCACAGGGATCAATCCTGGCATCTCCTCTTTGGAATGTTCTCTTTGGCTAATTTATGCAGGAGCATAAAAAAGATAACCTAGTATTATTTCTATTTAATCCAAATAGGGGGTTATTTTACATTTTCTTAACACTTCGTATTTACTGCTTAGTTACAAACTGCGTTGTTTTTTGTAACATGTTTATAATTTAGTTAAAATTCTAGATTTTTGCTATGTCAAATAACATTAAAAGAAAAGTTATTTCTTTAGAACGTAAAATTAAAATATTAGATCGTTTACATAATATAGGAAAAGTAGCGAATGTTGTTAAATGTTATGCCATGAACGCAAGAAGGTGCCACTACAAAAAGTGTTGCTGCTAGATATTCTTTGAGTATGGAAAAAGCATTAATGATATAGCAAGAAGACATAACTCAAAAGAAAATAACAATTGATACCAATGAAAATAAAAGTAAGGCTTTGAAGCTTTATGAAAAAATTGAGAATTAGTCCTCATCTTTAGACCCTTCTTATAGTCTATCTTTTGTGCCATGGTTGGTTTCAATAGTTCAGTGGCATTATTTACACAATATAAGATTGAAAGATGTACCAATATATAGCAAAATTCGTTGGAATTATTTTCAACAATTCCTCCAGTCCTGACTAGGATGCCAGGAAGAATCTATTTGGCAAAAGCTCATAAGAAGGATTTAGTTGATATGCTTAAAGAAACAAATTGTGAAAATGTTCTAGATGAAGAGGAGTCCAAAGGAGTTGCTTTCATAATATAACATGAGGAGGGGCAGAATTATAATATCTGATCAATCTGAAATTGTTCCAAGTAAATCCAAAATAGAATCGCATCAAGTGGAAGTATCTAATGATTAAAGTGATATGCGAGATAAGAAGAAAAGATTAATAGTCTACGAGTGTGATAACAGTTTGTTATATCTTCTGCGATAAGCAATACAGTGCGGCAACTGCTATACTACGAGTACAGGAAATTTTGAATTCTCATTTTCTTCTTTTTTTTAATATAATTTTACTTATAATTTACTTACTTATAACTTTCATAAATTTTATAAATTTTATAAAGATTTATATAGATTTGTAAGAGCATGAAACATATTGATGCAAGTAAAAGAAGTCAGTCTTTTTGAACATACCTTATTACTTACTATATTTTACCACTTAAACCAGAAAATACAGCCAGTTAATACTCAAGATAGTATAAACGAACAATAAAAAACAGTGAAAAGTAAGATATTAGACGCCGCCATGGAAGCAGGGGCAGTAGGAAAGAGACAGATGAATGTTAATACAATCAATAGAACACCTTGGCTTCCGCCGGAAGTACAATATATCCGAAATAAAACGCCTGAAAACTGGAACAACCAAAAAAAACGAAATGAGATAAACGCATAAAATAACAAAAAGAGAATCAATAAGAAAAGATCACAAAAAGAATGCTGAGAACAAATAAGCTTGAATGAAAAATATGGTGTGAACTAGTGGTGGAACGGATATGCGGCCATTTTTAAAAATCGGATAGTTACCAAATATCCGGCTTAAAAACCGGATACCGGATATTAAAAACCTATTACTTAAATTGAATTGAATTTTGGAATTTTCGCCGATTAAGTTTTAAAAATTCGTATAAAATCCACTTCTTAGAATATGAATATGAAAATTTCCCAACGTGTTAATAAAAGTGTCCTCTTTCCAAAGAACCAACCCGTTTTGAAAAATAGCTTTTAGTTTTTGAGAAAACAATATTTGAAGTTTTGATAAAATTTTCGATGTTGCAATTTTCATTAGTAATTTTCAAAATTCGTTATAAAATTAATTTCTTGAAGGATCCTTGAGGAAATATCACCAATTATTAATTAAAGTATCCTGTTTTTAATGCAAAAAGCCGTTTTGAAAAATCGCATTTAGATTTTGAGAAATAAATTTTTGAAATGATCGACAGTTCTTCTTCGAATTTTGCAATTTTCGCTGATTAAGTTTTAAAAATTCGTATAAAATTCATTTTTGGGAATATGAGTTTAAAAATTTCCCAAAGTGTTAATAAAAGTGTCCTCTTTCCAATGAACCAACCCGTTTTGAAAAATAGCTTTTAGTTTTTGAGAAAACAATATTTGAAGTTTTTATAAAATTTTCGATGTTGCAATTTTCATTAGTAATTTTCAAAATTCGCTATAAAATTAATTTCTTGAAGGATCTTTGTGGAAATATCACCAATTATTAATTAAAGTATCCTCTTTTTAATGCAAAAAACCGTTTTGAAAAATCGCATTTAGATTTTGAGAAATAAATGTTTGAAATGATCGACAGTTTTTTCGAATTTTGCAATTTTCGCTGATTATGTTTTAAAAATTCATACAAAATCCATTTTTTGGAATATGAGTTTAAAAATTTCCCAAAGTATTAATAAGAGTGTCCTCTTTTCAATGAACCAACCCGTTTTGAAAAATAACTTTTAATTTTTGAGAAAACAATATTTGAAGTTTTGATAAAATTTTCGATGTTGCAATTTTCATCGATAACTTTCAAATTTCGCTATAAAATTTATTTCTTGAAGAATCCTCGTGGAAATATCACCAATTATTAATTAAAGTATCCTCTTTTTAGAGTTGCTTTGTTAGTAGTATATCTTCGATCCAATTAAGTTGACATATCTTATCAGCTTTCTTATTAATTTCATTTTTATTCAAATATCGCAATAATGTGGTAATGTAGGGTATCACTTCAGAAATGCGCTAGTGTGAACTAATAAAATCACGCCATAGTAGTGATCAGCAAAGAACGAAGTGAATAATAATAAGACCCATTATAGCACATGCGGCAGAGACACGACCCGATACAAGCAGACTCTACAAATGATGAGAACAGTCGAGATGAAAACGCTAAGAAGTATACAAGGCAAAACTATACACTACAGAATTTGGAACGAAGATATCAGACAACAATGTGGAATACAGGACATAGGAAGATGGGTGAGACAGAGACGAAGATGCTGGTATAAACACAGAAAAAGACGCAAAAAAAACGTTAAAAACGCAAAAAACGATGGCGAAAATATTGGACCTCATCTTCCGGTCTCCGGAATTTATTCAATACTAAAAACATTGTATTCGGTAATTTCCGGTGTATATCCTGTCGTCTAATTTTTAACAATACGGAAATGATTACATAGTGAATTGATCGTAACGTTAATTGATTGTTATAACGTAACTTTAACACCGTCTTATTGCATTCAAAGGTATAAACAATTATGTTATTAATCATTAAAATCGGCCAATTAAAAAAAATTCTTCCAAAAACTCGAAAAAGAAATAAATTTGTTAAATTTTTATAATAACATTTTTATATAATTACAATGATATGACGTAATAGTTACGATTAATAGTTTTAAAGTATTTTTCCTAGTTCTAATATTATCAATAAACCCAAAACAATTAGAACCTAAAACGAGTTGTAAATCAAAATTTAAGTGAAACCGTAAAAACCCAAGTTTAACAACTACAAATGGAGTTACTAATAGAAATTCCTTTATAACTTTAAAAATTTTAAAAAAACTTTAAATTTTTTTCTTAAACCATATCATTAATAAAATAATAAAAATTAATTTTTGTTTATTAATTTCAATCATTTTATTTTTCTTATTAAAGATATTTCTGTTGAGACTTACCTGCAAAAACAGCAGCAACCAACAATCTCCTTTTGGCAATAACTTTGAAACTAATCATTTTCGACACGAAACTTCTCAATTTTCTTTTTTCCCCAAAAAAACTATTAAGTAATTTTTAAAGATGTCTTCTTCTTTCGATCTTATTTTATTTTCGGCAGGGTTTTCAATCCAATAGCCAATGAGAAATCGAAGCAGTTCACATTTGTGGTTGGTATAAAAGTTATAAAATTCCACGTTCTTCTATTTTCGTTTTTTGGTTTGTCAGCCCATAATAGGAACGTTTAAACGAAGTGCGTTTCACTTGATAGAATTGTTGGACTGCCCGAACACAACCGGTACCAGATTGTTTTTATCACAGCCCGAACCACCACTCGTGTCGATCGTTCAAAACGATTTTTATCATTATTGCCAATCGTCATCATCCGTTTATGAATATCAGATCGAAAAGTTCGGCCCTCTTTTAATATCTTAATTTTGTATAGGTTTATAGATTCGGATCTTTATCACGTTTTTTGATTGATCTTTCAAGACTCTCTTTATATATTTTTTTTTAGAATAAGTAATACGTATTTTTATTTTATTTTAAAGTGATGTTTGTGACGTAATTAGAATAATGAGGATTATTATTATTATTATTATTGATAAAATATATGTTTTGGGATGAGAATAAAATTATTTTAATTGTTTTAAATTAAGATAATCTTGGCATTTATTTTAATTACATTTTTTCTGATTAGGTAGCATTAGGTATTAACAAGGTCAAGTTTTTACAGATTATGCTTTAAAATCTTTGGACTATAAGTAATATCAGTACAATCATAATGATATATGATTTTAAGTGACATTGCAACTTAAAATTTGTTAACACTTTTTTAACTGTGTAGTTTTAATATGATGAATCATTCAGAAAATTTTATTTAGATTGGGTAAGGAGAAATGTTGTTTTCGATTTGAATTTAGTAATAAAACGTAATTAAATCTTACTTGCTATCAATATCATTTCTGCTTAAAAAATATATAATATTTGATATTATTTACTCTGAGAGGTATTTACTTTTTTATTCTCCTTCTTCTTCTACCTCTTTTTAACCTTCTAGAGGCCGAGTTGTGAAAAACTTTGTTTTTCTTGTTTAACTTTTCACAAATCTTTCTATAGACCTATATGATTAGACTAGAAAAAAAAACTTTTCTCTCAAGATTTTCAAAATACCATGTTCCCATTTTGGGAACGTTGGCTGCTTTAGTTGGTAAGTACGCTAATAATAAGCATTTTATTGTTTTTGATCATTACAATTTTCCCCTTAATACATCCTAATATATGTCATTAGTATATTATTTTCACCCTCTACCCTCTTCTTCCATTTCCATACCCTCGGCTCCTCGGCCCAATCCTCCCCTCATCCATCCCTTTGTCTCCTCACCCCCACAACCATTCTCATCCATCGTTTCCCCTCTCCCCCCTCTCCTTAGATCTGCCCTCGGTCCAACTCCTCCTCCCTCAACTCACTGCACCCATTCAACATATGTTCCAACGTTTCCCATTCCTCCCTGCATAACCTACACCACCTCTCCTCATCGGCCATCCAGTATCTGTTAGCTCTCTCCTCGTTTCCACAACGGAACCTAGCCACCAACTTCTTCCCTTCCTCATCTCCTTCCAATAACAAGTATCTAGGTAGCCCCTCCGTAATTATGTCCCTGTACCTTTCGTTATACCTCCCCTCTTTTATTTGTGTCCTTCTTTCCTGTCTCTGCACATCTCGGTCCCTATCTCTCAACTCCCTCCACATCTCCCTACCCACCCTTCGTCTACTATTTATCTCAGTTACCGAGTAGCCCGCTCGTCTATAATAGTTGTCTCTGTCTTCTTTCCCATATCTGATCTTTCCCTCTCTAATTTCCCTCCAACACTCAGATCCCGCAGTTTGGCCTCCCTTCTATTCTTTCTTCATATTTCACTGCTCTCCTGCCCCCCTCCACTCTGACTTTATCCACCTTTACCTCTTCCTTCACTATATACCCCGGTGTTTCTCTCGCCACCCCAAGCACCCATCTCCAGTATCTAGCTTGCACGTCCTCCAGCATTGCCTGCTCTCCCCATCCCCATACCTCTGCTCCATACATCATCACACTGCTAACCAGACCTTCAAACATAATCTTCCTCGCTGCCACGTTCCTTCCAAAGACTCTCTTCCCCCAACCCCATACTTGTCCCATCACCTTATTCGCCTTTTTTATTATTATTATTAATATATGTGTTCAGGGAGGACAACAGGGAGTGTTGTCCTCCCTGAACACATACCCCAAGTAAGTATACTCCCTAACCTCCTCGATCTCTTTTCCCCCCCATCTCCAGTTTTCTGTTCTTTTTCTCCCCCCCTTACAAAATTTCATCATCCTTGTCTTCCCCACATTCACTTCCAGCCCCTTCTCTCTAAAATATCTTTCCAATGTCTTTATCATATCTTTCATCTCCGCCGCTTCTCTCGCCATGACCACGATGTCATCCGCGTATGCTAACATATGCACCTTTCTACCTCCCACCACCAACCCTCCCATTTGCCCCTTCCCCAATCTATCCTCCAAGTCCGCCGTATACAGTGCAAACAGACTTGGGCTCAGCGGACATCCCTGCCTCAGTCCCTTCGTCGTCCAAAACACGTCGCTCAGCTTATCTCCCACTTTTATCCTAGCCATAGTCTCCATGTATATTTCCTTCACTCTCGCAATTAGGTGTTCCGTGATCCCCCTCCTCCTCATCTCCTCCCACAACTTTCCCCTATTCACCTTATCAAAAGCCGCCTTCAAATCTATAAACAGGGCGTACAATTTCCCTCCCTTCTTATCCAGCTCTCTATCTGCCAGATGCTTCAACACGTACACGTTGTCGATTGCTCCCCTTCCCTTCCGAAAGCCTGCCTGCCTATCCGGCAAAATTCCCCCCAACTCCATCTCCTCCTCCAGTCTTCCCAGCAGTATCTTCGTGTATACCTTGTATGCCGAGTCTAGTAGGTTAATTCCTCTGTAGCCCTCTACCCTTCCCTTATTATCCTTTTTATATACTGGGCAAATTACCCCCACTTTCCATCCCTCCGGAATACCACCCCCTCTCCATACGCTATTCATCCCCTCCAACAACTTCACTCTCACCACCCTTGATGCTTCCAACCATGCCTCGTTCTGGATGCCATCTTCCCCTGGCGCGTTTCCCTTCTTCAATCCCCTAAGCACTGCTTATATCTCCTCTTCTGCTATCTCCTCTCCCCCATCTCCCTCATAGCTTCCAATAATAATAAAATTATTATTATTATAATAATAATAATAATCCCATAAAGTAACTCTTCCATTCTGTCATGTGTATTTCGCTGGTTATCCTCTCCCTACCCTTCTTTCTCTTTTTCAGATACCTCCAGACCTCCCCTTCCCTTGTTATCCCTCTAATCTCTGCCGCTTTCTTCTCCCTCAGTTCTGTTTTCTTTCTACTGCATAACTCTCTGTATCCTCTCCTGGCCTCCCTATATCTATCCACCCCTATCTTCCCCCGTCTCCTCTGCCTCAACCTCCTTCTCGCCTCCCTCTTCGCCTTCTTGCACTCGCCATCATACCAGTCGTTCCTCCCTACTCTGCCCCCCCTACGTACACACTCCCTTTTCAGTGCTGACTCCCGCACTACCTGGATAAGTTCTTCCAAACCATTGATCTCTTGTATCTTCTGTTGCCAAGTGTCTAGGTTTCCCCTATAAAATGCTACCCCTTCTTCCGACCAGTCTGTCCTGATGAACGTGCTCCCCATTTCCGCTCGCCTTCTGCCGTCCACCCCCTTTACCTCCACCTCCAACGGTTGGTGATCCGACTCTACCGCTTCTCCCACTGTAAACCTTTCCACCCTCTCCCACATTTCCTGATCCACCAGTACATAATCAATCACAGATGTCCCCCTCGCCCCGATGTAAGTATACTCCCCTTCCTCTCCTTCCTCTTTATTTCCATTCAGTATCTCCCATCCGTTCTTCTCCGCCCATCTCAGCATTTCTGTTCCTTCTCCATTCCGCACAGTATCCTTCGACCGCCGTCGTCCCTCCTCTCCACATATCTCCACCCTTCCCCCCTCCTCGTAAGTACGCTAATAAAAGGATGCTAATTGATTATTAGAATACAATGAAACAAGTGCATGAAACTATGAAATATGTTGATGAAAAAAAAATAAAAAAACCATGTATAACAAAAAAGTTAATTATTTTTTATGAAATAGTTCAAAACAAACATTTTTGTGCAATCTTTTATCACATTTTGAACACTTAAGTCTTGTTTTTTTTTGACATACACTACATCTTCCTTGAGAACATGTGATTCCGTTATGTCTTATATCACGCACTACTGGTGCTGTAGGTCCTTTCTTTTGGTCGGTAGCTGGAGCAAAGACGATCTAAGAGATCAACACCACCCATTCCTTCATTATATCTCCTTATCAGATTTGGTTGTATCACGTCTGTCTTGTTTTGTCCTTTTACCCGTCTAGAAACCTTTTGAGGAGGTGTTACAACGTAGTGGTTACTATTGCATTGTCGTTCCATTTGACACAAATTTCCATTCCGTCAGACTTATAATCCTATGATCCTCCTTCATGTTTTTCCAAAGCTTTAGAATGTATCAAAGGACACTTATTAGTTCTGTTTTCACGAACAGTTCCACAAGCTCGAATGATTGTCTCTGACAGATAATGAAATAGTGTATGGCTGGAGAAGAAGTTGTCAAAAAATATTACATGTTGTAAAGGTTTTTGAACAACAGATAACATATTTTTTACGACACGAGTTTCTAACGGTTCTTTGTTATGTACAAGTGATTTCCCGCAATATATTTCCATATTATATGGATAACCGTCGGTCCCGCACAACATCCATATTTTGAAACCAAACCGAATTGGTTTGTTTTTTATGAACATCTTAGCAGAATGATGTCCATGATAAGGAACCATTGCTTCATCGATACATAAATGTTTGTGGAAAATTCCAAACTGTAGTAGATTCGTCTTCAACATATTATATATAGGTAACACTTTGGCAACTTTCGAATTTTCTAAATTATTATTATCCGCTACGTGTATATACCGCTTTATTCGTCTGGACGATTCTCTACTCATTGTTTTGGAAAAAATTGGAGCTTCCATATCTTCTGCTGTTAACCAGCAATCATTTTCTTTAAGAAGACTGTGGTAGCCGCTGATCAACAACAATCCAAGAAACTAAGAAATGTCTTCTTCATTTACTTTGAAATTGTGTTGATTTTGATCTCTTGTTGCGTAAAGATTCGTTTGATATGTTATATGAGAAAGAATCTCTTC